AGATAGTTTTAGCTATATAGTACAATATATACTACTCATTATATCATACCATTATGTTTAGTATTTTAGTATTTTGAAATTTTGGTTTTTTTGCCTAATTTTTGGTCACTTTTCAAGAAGAAACTAATGCAATATTTTGTAACATAAAAAAGTTTACTAAATTTTTGTAAACATTTCTAAAAATGCCCAAAATTGCAATTGATTATAATTCTTTCTGAAGCGTTCCAACAATTCTTGAACAGGATTATATATTTATTAGTTTTTATCCTGAGTAAATTGACCGTATGTTATCGGAGTAATTAATTAATTTTAACCTGAGATGGTTGACAGCATGTTATCGGATTAATTAATTAATTTTAACCTGAGGGGGTTGACCGCATGTTATCGGATTAATTAATTAATTTTAACCTGAGGGGGTTGACCGCATGTAATCGGATGACACAACGGTGTTTCACCATCCCAATTCCCATCACTATTACACACCCTGTAAACAATACATCTAATTAAATACAAATAATAAAAAATGTTTTATTTATTTTTTTGTAAAAAGATTTTATATATATTTTCACCTCCTTGATATTAAAAATGTTTATAATGAGAACTCTGCAAATGATATGGACAAGATTTTGACAAGTTTTATATAAGATTTGGACAAGTTTAGACAAGATTTGGACAAGATTTGGACAAGATTTGGACAAGATTTGGACAAGATTTGGAAAGGTTTTAGACAAGATTTGGAAAGGTTTTAGACAAGATTTGGACAAGTTTTAGACAAGATTTGGACAAGATTTGGAAAGACTTTAGACAAGATTTGGACAAGTTTTGGACAAGATTTGGACAAGATTTGAAGAAGATTTGGACAAGATTTGGACAAGATGAACTACCATTGATCAACGGAAACCGGGAAGGTTTGGCCTAACTGCAAAACTGCTTATTTTGGATCGACAACCTAATACGACCCATATTTCATTAATTGTATAAAAGGTATTTTCTGTTTTCTTTACCTGGATGCATTTCCCCAAAGAATAAACCCTGGATTGCATTTATAGGTTGCAACAGAACCAAACTGATATCTTCCTGCAATATAAAAATGAATTTATCAATTATAAATGTATTATAAAAAAGAATAAAAACGGAACACATTATTAGAGTAATTAATACTAGATAAATCAGCCAATCAGTCAATCAGTCAATCAGTCAATAAATCAATGATTTAAGCTCAATGAATCAACAAATCAATAGTTCAACAAAGCAATAGAAATCAAGAAATAATTAAATCAAGAAATCAATGAATCAATAATTATAAAGTTTTTTGCATTGATTTTTAATCTGAACAAAAACTTGTAAATATTAAGCATCGTTTGACATAGATTAATTGCTGAGAAATAAAAAGAAAAAACTTCTCTATTAGGGTTGGTCAATCAACCTACTTTACATTTGCAACCTAGAGGTGCAAAGTTGGTCAAAACTATTAGTTAAACCCTCTGGTATACCAGGTATATGCTTAGATTTTTAATTTCGGCGCGTAACATTTTCGCACGGCCATTTTTGCAAAAGAAATGTCACTTATAGTATAAGACCGAAAAAAATGTCTTCAAAATTTACGAATAGGGTGTTAAAAGATTCGTCTTAAAACACTGAATTCAGAAAAGTTGATTTGAAACAATTTAATATTTTTCAAAATACCAAAATGTGAACAGTATTCAGCCGCTTGAGACGCATCTTTTGATACCAATATCGATATAGTTTGAAAAAAATGTTCGGTCTTACAAATGACTCTTTCTTTGGCAAAAATTGCAGCACAATCGCTATTTTTTAAATATTTAGACGCAGGTATATCACTAGGCCGTCAAGCTTGGATCTAAAATCCATCAACCCTATTTTATGTTTTTATATTGTTGGATTAAACTGGAAAACTTGTTAAATATTAATGCTGTGGCTAGAACTGGTTCACTCGGCAGTTTACTTGAAATTCCAGGAAAACTGTTGAATTTAACAATTTATTTATTTGTATCTACCTATGAGAGCTGTTTGATGAGAAGTGGTGTATACATCGTGAAAAGCATTCAATTCAAGAAAGCTTTTTAATATCACATACTTCATTATAAAAAACTCTCCGCTCTCCGCTAAAAGCCAAAAACCCGCTATTTTACAATATTTTGTTGTATATCAGCGATCAAAAACGTTCATTAAATTGTCAGCAATTAACTTTCTCTGCATTATAACCTTGGACCGCTGGACCGATTGGGCTAACATTTTTTGTGGACACTCATGGGTGGCCGAGATAAAAAAAATAGAAATTTTTTTTCAACAAATTTTTCATTATAAAATTTTCATTTTTTGAAAAAAAAATTTTTCCACGTGCAACTCCGGGCCCGCGGCCGGGGGAAAGGCAAAAAAACCGAACATTTTTCTGTTAAGATTTTTTTCAAACATTTTCTCCTTTTTCCACGGCAAAGCCGGACCCTTCAGCTAGTGAATAATAAATCATTCTAAATGTTTCTATATCAATAAAGGTTGAGTCGAACAATGAATATATAAATATGTATATATATAATATTTTTTTTCCACGTGCAACGCCGGGCCCGTGGCCGGGGGAAAGGCAAAAAAACCGAACATTTTTCTGTTAAGATTTTTTTTTTCAAACATTTTCTCCTTTTTCCACGGCAAAGCCGGGCCCTTCAGCTAGTGAATAATAAATCATTCTAAATGTTTCTATATCAATAAAGGTTGAGTCGAACAATGAATATATAAATATGTATATGTATAATATATATATTTTTATTGAAAAGGTGAATAAAATAATGATTCGTTCTTTTATCAGAAACCACAGAAAATAGGTCTTTTATTTCATTATATTCTTTTTCATTAAATTATTAAACTACAACTTGTGTAAATACAAGATTATAATTCAAGTTACCCTCAATAGAGGTGCATGTAAAATTCACAAAGGAACCCTGAAAAGTCTTATCTGATCCAAAATTAATGAGATATATTTTTTAAATGACTTTATTAAGGCTGTATTGAATATCGTGAGTAACAAAGACTTTTAAATAACTGAAAACGAGACTATCTCCCACACTAAATAAAAGACAAAGCCATAGAGAATAGAATATATATTAGAGGGGAATTTAAAGAATCTCTCGGTATGAATTTTGTCAGTCCCTTTCAGCCTGAAAGGGAGTTCAAAGTGTACAAAT